TCAACACTGCATTGTTATCTGCTGCAACCTGTTTTTTTGTTTTCCTAGTTAGTACACTTCTCTTAGATTGTTAGTGTATACAAGTTTCAGTGTTTGCTGCCCTCTAGAGTCAATGGTGTATCTACTAGTGATAGGTTATGGAAAATTATAGGTAGGTGATGGTCAGTGACAGAAAGTGATATACGAGGTCTGTCCAGAAAGTATTCAGCTATGTAATATGAAAAATAGAGATATTTATTGAGCAAGATACAAGAAACATTCTACATAGGACACTGATGCCTCAGTCCCCTTCAAAGCAGGCACATTGGAACCTCACACAGTTCCCGCAGCATCTCTTACATTGTTCAAAACACTCTGCAAAATCATTTGTTGGAATCACCATCAGCTGCCCATATTTACCTTAATCTCATCGACCATCTCAAATCTCTTCCCCTATTTAAAAGTGATGTTGGTTTTGGGAAAAGCCAGAAATCGTTGGGTGCCAAATCTTTCAACAGATTTTTGACCATCTTTGAAGATGTGTCTCACTTTTATTTGCGCTGCACTCATTACATCGTCCCCGAATGCCTTCTGAATAATCCAAATTTGATGCAGATTTGTTGCTCTACTTCACTCAGTTCTTTTATTTGTGACAGCCACACTCAATGGCATCTAGACTAATACAGCAAAGTTGTCATTGTTTTCACATTCCAGTCCACTCTCCTTGCTGCCAGGTTACATTAATGTTTAGCAAAGCATTTTAGTTATATTAAAAATGGGTGGACTTTTTCTGGACAGACCTCGTATGCTCCATATTGGCCAATGCTGCTCTCTGCCCTCTCACAATTTAAACTCCATCTCCTCACAGATGAGGGTAAAGAGTAAATTTGTAAATAGTCATCTACACCCATGATTAGTTATTTTGCCCTGCTCTTATACTGCCCTTATACAAATCATCAAGATGTCTATGTGGACGTAGGCTTGTGCAAGGTGCTGAAAGTCATGCAATGGCGTCACATGACATTACCTTTAATTCCAAGCTGGATCTACCCATCCACCATTCTAGGGGAGACCTAACAGGACCTCTGTGAAAAAACTACCCCAGTTATTTTGGTACTTTTCCTGTTTGGTAAATACAACTACCGAACACCGACCACCCCCTGCTCATTCACTTAAAAAAAAAAAACGCCAATTAAGTGCTCTCTCTGTGTGGCGGGCCATCTTGTTCGCACGAAAGGAGACAGTGGTACTTGGTCCTCGAGTGTCTGGAACCAAAATCAGACACTCAACACCCGAATGCCGGTCAAACTACACGAACGCCTGCTTCCTTTCACCAACCAGCCAGGAGAGCACTATTCGGTAGATTTGTTCCCACGAACTAGGGGAACAAACGCTACCTATGAGCTAGGGGAACATTTATTCGTTTTTTGCACTTTGCAATCAAATTACAAGACCTCCATGTAACTCTTGAACCCCTGAACCAATCTGGGTGATTTTTGAAGATGTTGGTCCCCAGATCAGGGCTATCAGGGAATATGACTTTTGTGGGGTTCCCATGGAGTTTGAGGTACTTTCTGAGTTTTAGGGAAATATATGTTTTTGTGTTGGGAGATAATTGAGTTCAGTAAATTGCTTGACTCAATTATCTTCCCAGTACAGGGGACGAATAATGTGATTGTCAGTGGGCGTGTCCTGGACCTGAGAGCCAATGTACTTGCAGAATGTATTTTGTCACTGTCCCCTCTCAAGTCCAGTGGGGAATGCCCCTGGAATAGGCACGTGCATGGGGAAAACGTTTGGTTCGGTTCGACATTCCAAAATTCTGGATTTTCAAACTTTGGGACTTCGGCAATTTGGCACTTCAATACTTTCAGCCAAATTGACTAATACTAAGTAAAAATTACTTAGTATTAGTAAATTTTGCCCCTATTCGCTATACCTGTGGCTGGTCACTTTAAAAAAAACAAAAAACCTATTGCCCCCCCGACCCCCACCCCTGAGCGGTGGGTGGGGGCCCTAAAGTAATATGATGGGGGAAACCTATTGTCCTCCCCCCTGGCTCCCACCCCTGAGCTGCGGGTGGGGGCCCTAAATTGGAATAATGTCCTCCCCCCTGGCCCCCACCCCTGAGCGGCGGGTGGGGGCCCTAAAAAAAATGCCCCCCCAGGTGACTTGGGGTCCCCAAACCCCTAGTCACCCCCTCCCCCCCCAAAAAAATTATCCCCTTACCCTTAACATGATGGGGGAACCTATTGTCCTCCCCCCTGGCTCCCACCCCTGAGCTGCGGGTGGGGGCCCTAAATTAGAATAATGTCCTCCCCCCTGGCCCCCACCCTTGAGCGGTGGGTGGGGGTCCCAAAACCCCTAGTCCCCCTCCACCCCCCAAAAAAATTATCCCCCTACTTACCCCCCTCACCCTAAAAATAATGAGGGGGGGACCTTTAACTAAGTACCTGTAAAAAAATAAATAAAACTTACCATTCAATGTTTTCTTTTTTCTAAAATCTTTGTTTTTTCAGCCCCAAAAAAGGCCAAATAAAAAACCATAATAACCGACGCAATTATATCTATATATATAAAAAAAAAAAAAACGAGCGCAAAAAAAATAATCCATCTTCACCCATGGAGGGCTCCACGCAGACTGAGCTCTGCAGGGCGGGGGAAGGCTTATAAAGCCTTGTCCCGCCCTGCAATTAGGCTCAGAGCACTCTGATTGGTGGGTTTAAGCCATCCAATCAGAGTGCTCTGACAGGTAAATGAAGAGACTAACAGGTAAGTATCTACATTTACCTGTCACAGCACTCTGATTGGTTGGTTTGAAATCCAGTGCTCTGTGTCATTTTACACAGCGTGGGAAAGTTCTTTGGAATTTTCCCACGCTGTGTAATTTGACTCATAACACTCAAATGGTAAGTTTTTTTTTAGTTTTTTTTTACAGGTACTTATTTTTAGGGTGAGGGGAGTAAGTAGGGGGATAATGTTTTTGGGGTGGGGGAGGGGGTGACTAGGGGTTTTGGGACCCCTAGTCAACTGGGGGGGCATTTTTTTTAGGGCCCCCACCTGCCGCTCAGGGGTGGGGGCCAGGGGGAGGACAATAGGTCCCCCCCTTATTAGTATTTAGGGCCCCTACCCACCGCTCAGGGGTGGGGGTCAGGGGGGAAGGCATAAGGTCCCCCCCTTATTCTAGTTTAGGGCTCCCACCCACCGTTCAAGGGTGGGGGCCAGGGGGGAGGACATTAGGTCCCCCCCTTATTCTTGTTTAGAGCCCCCACCCACCGCTCAGGGTTGGGGTCCAGGGGGGAAGACATTAGGTCCCCCCCTTATTCTTGTCTAGGGCCCCCACCCGCCGCTCAGGTCCCCCCCCCTTATTCTTGTTTAGGGCCCCTACCCTCCGCTCAGGGATGGGGGCCAGGGGGAAGGACAATAGGTCCCCCCATCATATTACTTTAGGGCCGCCGCTCAGGGGTGGTGGCCGGGGGATGCAATAGGTCCCTAATTTTTATTTTATTTTAAATAGACATGCCCCTACTGGCGGTATAGCGAGTAGGGGCATAATTTACTAATACTAAGTAATCTTTACTTAGTATTAGTAAATTTGGCTGAAAGACCAATTTAGGTCTTTCAGCCTTTTAGTAGATAGCTCCCTAATACCGTGGGAATTAGGGAGTTATCTACTTATTCATTCCTGTCATTACATTGACTGGCTAAGTAACTAACATTTTATATGAATGTATGTTACTTAATTGTTGTAAGTGTTGCAAATGCTTACAGCTGAATTCTGGCTATGTTTGTATACTTTTTATTTAAAAATTGTATACAATGTAACATTCTCCTTCTTTCACTGGGTAAGTATATTAGTACTTAGGCAATATTGTGCTTCGGAACTTCGGAACTTCGGCAACTTCGGAACTTCGGCACTTCAGCACTTCGGCACTTCGGAAATTTGGTAATTTTGGAACTTCGGGACCTCGGCAATTCGGACATTCGGAAGTACCCGAATGTCCGAATTGCCCGAAATTTGTCCGAATTCATATTCGGACCGAAACGGATTGCACATGTCTACCCTGGAATATGTCAATGTAAATGCTGTACATTGTCAACTGCATGTAAGCCACGCGGTTAACCTGAATAGAGCATTCCTGTTATAACCTTCATCTAGTTTAGGCTGATTGGGTACCTGTCTACTTTCCTGGGAGAATATACTTAGATGCTGTACTTCGTCTGGAGAAACATTCGAATCAACACCCTAACTGCAAGCTATAGTCACTCAGGCTCTAGCAGTTTGGGAGAAAATAGTCAAACGGGTACCTGCAATACCAGTGTTCGTTACAACCTCCTCCCTAAAACTAGTTTTACAGAATCAGGTCAAAACTCTTCTTTCATGACCTGAGCTCTCTGATCCTGTGCTGGTGTTAATCTCATTGAGTACTTTAATACAGCAGTAGATGCACATAGTGCCATCTATAGAGACCCATGGAAACTAGAGAATTGACATTTACTCTGCAAAAACAGTGCTAGAAGTACATACAGAAGGAGAGGTTTTCAAGCGAGCGAGTTCACAGACCTCATCCCATGTGACATTAGCAGTTGGGATAGAACAACACAAGCTTTAAAGTAATGCTCTTATATTGTACTCTAAGGAGATTTACCAATAAAAATTAATTAGTGTAGCACTGAAAAGAAGGAGATTAATGTAATCCAAAATAGCTGAACTGGAATCTCTCATTCAAGCTGTGGATGTTTAGTAAATGAACCCTAGAAAATCAAACCTGAACAGACGATTTATTTTATCCACAAACGTCTAGAAAATCAAACCTGAACAGGCGATTTATTTTATCCATTACTGTTTGTAATAAAGCAAACATTTTGTGTCTCAAAATAAATAATAAAACAAAAAAGTAAAATTTAATTTGTTAAAACACTCCCTTTGTCATTTACAAATAGATATATAAGAACAGCTGTGTTAATAATAAGAGGATTATCAAAAACTGAATGAAGGTCCAATGCAATATGAGACAGTGGTGGAATTTTTTTTATTTTGCTAAAATAGGAGATTGTTAATTCATTAAACTGTAAAAAAAAAAAATGGTTTTATAAAAAAAGAAAAATAACAATCTTTGTTTAAAATCATCAGTTTATCCCTTCTAGCACCACACAGGTAAACAAACAGAATACAACAATGGCTGTTGCCTAATACTGGCTCTGGCCCATCTCCCATAATGCCCAGCCAGCCATTACGATCAACTTCTGGGCTGGCTAAATGTGATAGGAATTGCTACAATGCTGCAATTCAGGCTTTAGATGGTTCGACATGTCAGGGTGATCAGCAAGATCTTCTAAGAGACGCTGCCCGGCGCTCCAGGAACAGGCAGGTATAAGAAAGTTACAGTTATCTTTATACACAAATCAAATAAATCTATGCGCCACCTACTGTTCACTTACAAGTAAGACAAACACATTATTATCCATTTTATATTTGTTTACATAAGTAAAGCAGGTATCCCAAAACATGACAATTCAGAGCATACAATTAAATAAATACGGCCAAAATCCAGTTTCTTATGTCTTAAAAATAAAGTTCTACAATGCTTATTGTTTTCTAACTGTATCTAGTGCAGGTTTCTATTAACTAAACAGTGACTTGCGGTTATTTTTCAACCAATCAAGATTAAGACTAAAATAGCTGAATCCGATGATTATTTTCAGCGTAAATTTCATTATTCACAGATATAACTATGTAGTACAAAGACTCCATAACAAACTGCATTCTCAAGGTGTAGCTATTTATATTCTTAAAATACACCTTCTAACACAGCACTGGACTGTAAAGTGGAGAGTGGAGATGACATTCGCGTGTATATTAATTCAAGTTTAACTTCTTTTCATGAAAGTAAAAACATTTTGGAGTTTGTGAAATACATTTATTAACAACTGAAATTCTGTATTTAACCCTTTAAGGACACATGACATGTGTGACATGTCATGATTCCCTTTTATTCCAGACGTTTGGTCCTTAAGGGGTTAAAGAGACACTTCACAACCCGTAAAGCACTTCAGTGAAGTTCTTCAGTGATTATTAGGAGGTCCTCATTGTGTCATATTATCAAAGTGATGATTTCAAGAGAACACTATCACGCTGACAGTCCAGAGGGTCTCCTCCATCAATCTGCTTGACAAGAGGGAATTAGCTTGGCCTCGTAATCGCAGGCCGCTTTCCTGCAATTAGGGTTTTCACCACTCAGTAACATCTAAGTAATTATTTTTACTTTGGACTCTAATGACAAGCTTGGATCGGATAATGTATGTAAGCGCTGGACAGGAAGGAGAGGGCTTGCAGTTGCTGCAGATAATAGATCTGCAATAACTGTAAACTAGGCTTTCATTAATCCCCAAAGAAAAGGTGAAACAATAATTGCATGCCTGTTTATTTGGAGGTTTATCTGCAACATAGTGATATATACAAAGTTATATCTATTCTTTTTATGTGTAATTATTCTCCAAGGCTTTTTTGTCATTAATTACTAATTCTAATAACATTGAAGGAATTATATATACATATATATCATTTTATGGGTGTATATAAATACACAAACACTCATTGCGTATTGTAAGAAGAGATTGTCCAGTTGCTATTCACTTTCAATTTGGGCCCTACAATATATCTGTGGATGAGTTCAAATTGCGAGAGACCCCATGTGCTCCTCATTTCCGTATTTGCAAATCATCTCTCGTCATTTGATTTATATGTTAAAGTTTTTGGCATTGAAATTTTATCGAGGTTTATTTGTTATGAGAACCAACAAAATATGACTAATTCTGGCCTGGAATTCTTTGTACATTTTATTTTGCTCAGACATGGAAATAATATCTGTTGCTAAATATCTTTTAGTGCCACTATGGATCTGACGAGGAGCACAGAAGAATGAAGCCGTTTTGCGAAAAGTCACCACAAAATGTTTTCTTCTCACTTCATGATTATAATAAAAATACCCAGGGCCACCATCAGTGGGTGACAACCAGAACGGTTGTCACGGGCCCGGCGGCCCTGCTGCGGCCGGGTAATTGCGTGACCGAGCCCCTTTAAAAAATAAAAAATAAAAATTGCGGCTGCACCGCAAATGCTGCTTGGAGGAAGTGATGGCTGGTGTGTGTGTATGTCTGTATGTCTGTGTGTGTGTGTGTGTTTGTCAGTATGTATATTTGTCTGTATGTCTGTGTGTATGTCAGTATGTATATGTGTGTGTATGTCAGTATGCATGTATGTCAGTATGCATGTCTGTGTGTGTGTCAGTATGCATGTATGTCTATGTGTGTGTGTCAGTATGCATGTGTGTGCGTATGTATGTCAGTATGCATGTATGTGTGTGTGTATGTCAGTATGTCTGTATGTGTCTATCTGTATGTGTGTGTGTATGTCAGTATGTATATATGTATGTATGTCTGTGTGTGCTTGTGTGTGTGTGTGTGTGTATGTATATATCTATCAGTATGTATGTCAGTATGCATGTATGTCTGTGTGTATGTCAGTATGTATATATGTCTGTGTGTGTATGTATGCCTGTGTGTGTATGTATGTGTGTATGTATGTCTGTGTGTGTATGTCAGTATGTATATATGTCTCTGTGTATGTATGTCAGTATGTATATGTGTGTGTGTATGTCAGTATGCATGTCTGTGTGTGTGTCAGTATGCTTGTAGGTCTATGTGTGTGTGTCAGTATGTATGTGTGTGCGTATGTATGTCAGTATGCATGTATGTGTGTGTGTGTGTGTATGTCAGTATGTCTGTATGTGTGTGTGTATGTCAGTATGTATATATGTATGTATGTCTGTGTGTGTGTGTGTGTATGTATCTATCTATCAGTATGTATGTCAGTATGCATGTATGTCTGTGTGTATGTCAGTATGTGTGTATGTCAGTATGTAGGTCTGTGTGTATGTCAGTATGTATATATGTCTTTGTGTGTGTATGTATGTCTGTGTGTGTATGTCTGTGTGTGTGTGTATGTCAGTATGTATATATGTCTGTGTGTGTGTATGTCAGTATGTATAGATGTCTGTGTGTGTATGTCATTGTGTGTGTGTGTGTGTGTATGTCAGTATGTATATATGTCTGTGTGTATGTCAGTGTGTGTGTATGTCAGTATGTATATATGTCTGTGTGTGTGTGTGTGTGTCAGTATGTATAGATGTCTGTGTGTGTGTATGTCAGTATGTATGTCTGTGTGTGTGTGTGTGTGTGTGTATGTCAGTATGCATGTATGTCAGTATGTATGTGTGTGTGTGTATGTCAGTATGTATTTATGTCAGTATGTATGTCTGTGTGTTTATGTCAGTATGTATATATGTCTGTGTGTGTCAGTATGTATGTGTGTATGTATGTATGTCAGTATGCATGTATGTCTGTGTGTGTATGTGTCTGTATGTATCTGTGTATGTATATATCTATTTGTGTGTGTATGTATCTGTGTATGTATATATCTATTTGTATCTATGTATCTATGTATCTATGTACATGTATCTATGTATATTAGTATGTATGTGTATGTATTCCATTATGTATGTATGTCAGTATGTATTTATGTGTATGTATATCAGTTTGTATGTATGTCTGTTTGTCAGTATGTATGTGTGTGTGTCTGTTTGTCAGTATGTGTGTGTATCTGTATCTGTGTATGTGTGTGTCTGTTTCAGTATTTGTGTCTGTTAGTATTTGTGTGTGTGTCTATTCCTGTGGGCGGAATTTGGAGGTGGGCACCCTGGGGCCTAGACCTTGAGCTGTGTTAGGGGCCCCACAATTTCTGATGGCGGCCCTGAAAATACCCCATGTTGGATCTTAACAGAAAAATAATAAGGGGGATTTCCTTTTTGGCTCTGTATCCAAATATAGTTAATCCAGTAGGAAAGCTGGTCCACTGGTGAGGTTTGTGTGCAGAAACCAGAAAAACTAGGGGAACAGAAAGAACAAGCATTCACACTTCACATGCTGATAAACCAAGGCAAGAAAACGTACATTCAGAGAGCATTGGGATTACCTCTCGAAGGTCTTAAACATTCCATGCTATTATTCCAACTCTGAGAATCAATCAACCTGACTTCTCACCTGGATCACAGGAAGAAAACCTGAAAGTCTTGATCCCCAGACATGGAGAAGGGAGTATTAATATATCAATATGTAGCGTGAGGTGTTGAAAGTCTCATTGAAGGGCTGTTCATGGCTTCTTTTTTTTATATTTTCTACATAAAATGATTATTTATTTATTTTGAACAACACAGTTTTATTCCTTTTGCTAGACTCAAAGAGTCTTCCATTGAAGTTTGTATTGATCACTATTGACAGCAGTCCAGCGGGACTCGGTAAATAGGCGAGATGCCTTTTTAAGATTTAAGCATCCAGCACAAATGTAAGTGCTTGCTAACATAATTCAATATGCTAAGCAAATGATAGAATTTGCCCTGTGTTTTGGTACAGGGTCCTAAGACGTCATGTGTGGAGGACCCTGTACTGAAATACTCTGCTGCGGCTGCTTTTAAATTCTTATAATTCCTTTGACCACAAGATATTTTTCAGTATGAAATAGAGGAGCCCTTAGTCTCTGCTCAGAGAAGGTGGTGAGAATTGTATCATCAATGGGGACCTCTAGTGTCCATTCCAGGAGAGAAGCTGCCAATTACACATTGGTGTTTTAGTCACATACACTTATTTTAAAAGAAAATACACGATAGAAGCATGTAATGTGTAATATGTAAATATAACACTGCAATCACATTTCAGAAACTTAAGAAGCATGTACTAAGCATTGATATAAAGTCTCTGTTCAGAAATCTGTATCCAAGAATGTAATCACTGCTTAGAACGTGTAAGTAAAAATCTGGAAAAAAAATGTTGAAGGCTTTTCAAAACTCTTCTATTTTAGTCTAAAATTTGCAACAATTCTCTATTTTTACCCAAACAGAAGCTAATTTTGAAGCTAATTCCTCAGGAAATAAATTGTCATGTGATGCCAGAACTGACACCTAGTGTGGGAGTGTGCAGAGGTCAGTGTCCCTAGTTATTGGTGGAACTGGTCTTGGATGGTGGAGACTTGCCTGGACTCTATGATGGTGAGATATAACTATATCTCCTGGAGACATAGGTCAAGGCATTGCTTTTCAATGTGCACAGACATTCATAATCTACCCACTGTAAGTGTGACATAGAGTTTTTTTACTAGAAGTCTGACAGTCGTATGGTTTTATTTCATGTCAAGATATTTTTGGAGATTTGCGAGAGCATTGACATTTTAGGTTAAAACCCCTGAATTTTAAAAATTCTTCAAGTCAGATTGTGTCCCATAATATCCACATGTCCAGTTTAATGAAAACAACCCTGCAGACCAAACATTAAGATGGGAATCTCAGAATACCAGGTCAAACCAGGATAGTTGGAGACGTGGCTATGAATATTTGCCATCTTAGAGAGGAGATCCAGGACATTCACACAGGTACCAATAAGCAGCATAGCAATATTTCATACATCATTAATTTACTTTAACTACTGCTGTCATATTCAATATCCTATAATTACATTTTAATTCCAAATTCACTCATTTTTTTAGCTTGACCAAATTTACCAAATTTGGATATGTTTTATTAAGTATTGGCCAAGCAGCCTCTTAAGGATTCATATTTAATCTTCTGGCTGAGGAAAGTAAGCGTAGGGGAGAGATCAATAGGAACTTGCATGATTGGTTCTCTAATTTCCCATTTGACAATGTATGAATGCTACATACAGTCAGACACAATTGTTAATGCAGTGTGTGGCAGCCCTGAAGTTGATAATATCTGGTTTCCAAGTGTACAGATCAAACAGGTGGTGGCCAATGCTGGAACTAAAGACTGTAGAGTTAGTTACAAATTTCTAAGCTTTGATTTAGTGCCAGAGTCCTCTAAAGAGTCTTTAAGGTCCAGCAATGTTCCAGGAATTAGGGATTACCGAATCCTGTTCTCATAAAGTTACTGATACAGACGGGACCTGATCCTAGGCCGTTAGTTTAAGAGACAATAATTTAGAACATTTGCTATAAAGTAACATCTGTTAGAAAATCATTTTCTTGTGATTGGAGCACCCTGAATATATGTTAATTGTCAGACATCTTGTTAGGCCTTCTAGAATTCTTTCTGCGTAAGTGCATGCAATTGACTTTCAGGCAGAGCAAAGGTCAAGCATCACACTGATAACTCCATACTTAAACTATTTCCTTTTAAGGAAGTGGTTCTCAACTCAGATCTAGCAGTCTAAATATTTAGTGAATTCCAACATAAGTTATAATTGGAATATTATATAACACTGACCCAGAGAGGTTTCTTTTTTTTTTTTTTTACAGAACTGGATTAAGATCCACCACTTTAAGACTCTACCTCTCTTTGCAGACTATAGAGTAACCTGAAAAATGAAAATAAATATATTTTAAAGAATGAGCTACAATTCCCAGCATGTAGGACCA